TAATTTTGATTTTGAAAATCTTATGAGCCTTATATCATTTTAATTTTTTAATATTAAATTTTTATATTAATTTAATATTAATATTATCTTTTCAATCATCTCGCATATATGACTGCATACTCTGATAATTAAATTAATTAAATTTTTCTACTCCAACATTTCAAGCTTTAATAATTCCTTATTTTTATTTAATATTAAATTAAATTTTTATTTAATATTAATTAATATTATCTTTTACATCATCTCGCATATATGACTGCATACTCTGATTAAATTTTCCTACTTCAATATTTCAAGCTTCAGTAATTTTTTATTTTTATTTTTCTCACTGCAATATAATTTTATTTCTATTTTTTGCATTGTATGTATTTACGGTATTTATTAATTTTTTTACAGTGTAAATATAAAAAATAATTAAGAAAATATTTGCCTTGTTTTTATAGGAGGAGATGGAACCTATCACCTCAAAGTATTGGTCCCCGGCGTTGCGGCCGGGGCTATTATTGGAAAAGGTGGAGACACAATTGCTCAACTTCAAAAGGATACAGGGGCAAGGGTGAAGATGTCTAAATCACATGACTTTTATCCGGGTATATATTCAATTTCAAGCATATGCATTTGTGTGCTTTTTTTTTATTTATTTATTATAGGAACCGTTTTATTTATTCATTACAGGGACGACCGAGAGAGTATGCCTGATTACAGGCACTATAGATGCTATAATGGAAGTTATGGAATTTATCATGGATAAAATACGCGAGAAACCTGATCTTACCGCGAAAACTACAGTTGACTTCGACTCTGGTAAAGCTACTGCCGACAGAGACAAGCAGGTATAAAGATTCAAACATTTTTTTCATATGACGAATCTTTTATGTGGAATTCCTATTTTCCTGACATTTTATACACGAGATATTTTCTTAAATAACTGTGAATTTGTTATATGTAATACTTATTAATTGTTTTTTATAAGTATTATAATTATTTTGCTTATTTTTTCATATTTTATATTCATTAAAAAGTAATTTAAATTTGTTATAATATTAATAATAAATTTTTATAACATGATAATAATTTATTTTAAAAAACTTTAAAAATGATTATCACATTTATATCGAATAAGAAAAATTTTTTTTTTTACGATTAATCTCAATCACTGGTTTTATTGTATATGTAAATTGTGTGCGTGTAAATGACATGAGCTGAAACTGCTATTTCAGGTGAAACTTTTAGTGCCTAATAGCACTGCGGGGATGATAATAGGAAAGGCGGGGAACTACATTAAGCAAATTAAAGAAGAATCCGGCTCGTACGTCCAAATTAGTCAGAAAGCTAAAGATCTGTCCCTTCAAGAGCGATGTATAACGGTGATCGGTGAGAAAGAAAATAACACAAGGGCGTTGCACATGATCTTAGCCAAAGTGGTAGATGATCCACAAAGTGGAACCTGCCTTAATGTCAGTTATGCGGATGTAAGTGGTCCCGTTGCCAACTACAATCCTACAGGCAGCCCATACGCCCAAGCGCCCACAACTACTCCAACGTACACGTCTACAGCTGGTCTAAATACAGGTTAGTTAACGAGTTTTATAGTGCTGATAAAGTATTCTCCACGCACGAAATGTTATTAGCGTAGCATTATCATTGATAAGATTATCGTATAATAATATCACAGATGTATACTTGTAAGTACGCGCTTTCCTATTATCCTTATTATTTATATATAGATAATTGCACAAATATTAAATTAAGAAATAAATTATTTTTTACGTATTTAAACAATAAAATTATATGAATATATATAATTGCTAAAAGAAAAGTATTTGTTACCAAGTTCCTTCTGTTGCAATTTTTGATCACGTTTAAATCTATATTACGTATATATTGAGATATATTTTTATTTTTGTCATTCGCGTTTAATAAATTAGATTAATAAAATAAATGACATCGGGATTATTTGTCTATTTTTTTTTTTTAGTGAGCCTCTTGAACGGCGCTGGTTTAAGTCTTAACTTGAATCTGGGCGCGGCCATTACAGCAGGCACGGCGCCGGTGACGACGCAATTGTTAGAACACATAAAGCTGAATCTACGTACGACAGGTTTCTCCGAGCCCGCCGCTACGGAGATACTCGCCGCGATTGCGACTCTCGCCAAGTACAACATTCTCGGGATGGGCATCGGGATGCCGTCGAGTATGAGCTACCTGGGCAATCCGATGGACAGTACGACGACCGCGAATGGCTCGAACAACAACGGCGGTGTGTTCGGACCGATCGGGACCGTGCCTACGCTCGGATCGACCTCGCCGACACCGCGCAACACCCTCGATCGGTACGAGCCGTTCGATCCGTTTCGACAGAACAACACCGCCGCCAGTGCGATACACCTGAACAACAATTCGTTCGGCCTGGGCACTAACCAGTTATCACTTGTAAGTAAGAGTCCTACACAGGTAGACGCCAACAACAAGGAGACCAAGAAAGTAGACATAGAAATTGCAGAGGTTATAGTGGGAGCTATTCTGGGACCCGGTGGTCGTGCCCTCATTGAGATTCAGCACCTAAGTGGCGCCAACATACAAATCTCTAAGAAGGGCATGTTCGCCCCTGGTACCAGGAACCGCATAGTGACTATCACGGGTTATCCCAATGCGATCAACACTGCTCAATACTTGATTGAGCAAAGGATTAGTGAAGAAGAGGCGAAGCGAGCGCGTCAGAATGCCATCGCCAGTATGATCCATTGATTTCAAGTACAGCACTCCTCTTGTTCATCCCCATTATTGAGCTCCGTTGTTCACCTCTTCACACCCTGAGAAGGTAGAACACGCGCCCAGATACGGCGCGGTTCTCTTTTCTCTCCCCTTATACTTTTGACACACCACACACCACACACATACACACTTACACACATATATATATATATATATATATATATATACACACACATCTATATATTTCGTCCATCGTCAACCTACCGCCCGTTGTCATCTATCGCGCTGCGTTGTCACTATAGCGCTGCGTTGTCACTATAGCGCTTGCATTGTCGCATCACTTACGTTCATACATCCATCATGGCTCGTCAACATTTATCTATCTTTTAAGATTATTACGATATATATATACATATATGAATATTATGTATGTTGTACGATATATAACTACTACGATTGTTCTGTGATACACCACATTACGGGGCTTTATCACACACGACACGCGCGTACCGCATCAGAGTTGCCACGAATAACTAGTTGTTATTGTGTATAGCGTATTACCATTGAGGTAATCCGTGATATATTGTTATCGATTCGGAATATGGCATCTCTTTAGCCACACGAATATTCACGCCACGCGACAGCTATTACACTCGGAAATACGGCTTCTTCTCGGCAGACTTTTGTCTGAATAATTGCATCCCCGAATTTTTACGGGACAATTTCACCATGATTAAAAGATCAACTCATACAGAACTCAATTGTTGAAACGGCATTGAATCTGAGTCAGTCATCGATTGGTCAACTGAAATATCGAGACAAAACGTTCAAGATTAACGTTCTGAATTGTCTTTTGAGATAGGAAATACTTAGACTAATAGACACTCCCTCGCTTTTGCAAAATATTTTATTTACTTCGTTCAACGAGCACAGAGTAATACCTTGGCAAAACCAAAGAGTTTACATGTACAGAATGTTGAAAAAGAAAAAAAAGACTTATAAATTTATAGGGCTTAGAATTTAAAGCTCTACGAGTTTGTAACTTTTCCCGGAACATTCTGTACAAATACCTTGGCTGGAAGATTAATATATATCCAAAGTGAGAGCTATTCTATATATAAACATATATTTATATATTTACAATGCCGCTGGCTGGCCCAGCTAAATAAATAACGGATAACTCCTTATTGCCAAGTTATATTCTTAATTCCAAAGCGATTATGAGTCTCCATCTCAAAACAAACCTCATCTAACTAAGTTTTGTAGCGCTTAGATTAATGTATACAGAGTTAGATTAACGTCAAATGTTGTTATTTTTTAATGTGTATTTCTAAGGGATGGAAATCTGTTTGCGCTAACACTTGTTCACTAGGATAAGCAATACCTTTTGCGCAATCACTTTAGATAACATTCTCGGATAATAATTATTTCATTATTCATTTTGAACTTTTAGTCTAATTATTTCCTCTTCTAAGGCGATCGTCAGTTGACTGCGATTAAGATCTCTGTATATTTTGCCTGACATTTAGTTTAATCTCATTTAATCGGACTTGACATTAGAATTTGTTATTACGTGCCTTTTGGGAGAAAGTAGCGTGTATTGACGTTTGCTTTCTTGACATGACGCAAACGCTCGTTCGTTTGAAGTATTTTTCAGAAGTCTTTTATTTACACGTGACCATGTCTTCGATCGTTCTCGCCGTGCGCGAGACTTTTTACCGATGCAGATTCGCTTGTTTTAAATAATTTAGCAGAGATTTAATTTATTTCATCGTAGGCGCATTGATACGGGAACTCTTCTATTATTTGTTTCAATCATTATCATATGGAAAATCTCGATTATTAGCTGAGTCACGTATTTTTGGGTTCTGTATGGTAAAATTAGCATCTGTATGGAACACTGCAAAATCTCTTATGCAAATGTGAGCCAAATGGGAAGTTTTAGTGAATCTTGGAGTTTTTTGGTCATGGAGTCAAGTGAGTCAGCAGGTTATTGAATACTAGGATTGGCTTAAAAATCGGATAAATTCGTTGCGTTTCCGCCGTTTGATCGGTAAAGATATCTACCATGAGTAGAGGTTTTTATAATCATTCTTTCTTTGGGGGTAGGTAGGTAAATAGGAAGGGGTGATATAAGCTAGGTAGTAATCAATAATGGGTTTAGTTCAAATGACGATTATTGAAGTGTTAGCTATATAGCGTTAAAAATGGAATATATATAACTGTACAATGAGTACAATTCATAACTGGAGGCGCTGGCCCACCGCTCTTTAAACAATGACTTGTATATTTATAAATATCGCATAACGGGAATGATAATATATTGTGCAGAGAGAGAGATATATATATATATATACATAGACATATATATCTAAAGATAAATATATATACATATATATATATATATAATACAGAGAGAGGATGCATTAGATTATTACAAAAAGAGAAATCACGTTAAATGAATTATAAAAATAACATATATATGTATATATATATAAAAGAATATTAATATAAATATAATATATATATACAAATATTATACATATATAAGAACGTGGAATGATATTATAAAAGATTGTTGACAAAATATTTGCGTCCGCAAAGAGGAGAAAACAGATTTATGTTTATCCATAAATTCTATGTGAACTATTATCAATTAAACTTCACTGTGTTGCCCAAATACATTGACAAGTCACCGAGATATGAAATAATAACTAGGTTGCTGTAGATAGATCGATTCTAAAGTTTTAAGAGAGCATATAAATATAACTTATAGCATTAATTTAATTTATGGATTAGTGTGTTCTAATGGCCTTCGTGCTATTAACGCTAACGGCAGCATAATATATTTCATTATACTGATCAATAATATATATATATATATATATAAAAAACGATCGTCATTCTCTCCGGGAATACGGAATCATCACATTAGGTCTATTAATTGGCTAAAATTCTCTCTCATCGCGCTACAAATCTTCTTCTATTATAGTTGGCTACGAACATTATCTGGCTGACTGCCGGTAGGCGAAAGATGCTGCTAAGTTTGCCGCGCGATACGAATTACGAACGCGTAAACGGCATTTGTCATTCGAATAGCCATTTTAATCTTGTTTATCGTTCGCAGACATTTGTACAAGACGCGCAGGCACAGCTCTACATTGCCACTGCTACAAATATGTACGTTACCTATTAGATTTAATATTATTTATTCGTCTTTCATGTTCACAATCGTAATGTTATTTATCGTTCTAATATTTATTCGCAGACAGAAGAATTATGGGACTATCGATTGAGGATCGGTATCTTTATTTTATCTTCCCCCCGTTGTTAAAGTTGTGAGAGATAGTTGTGTAGTTTCATCTCTGATTGTAACGCTGGGTGGAGAAGATTGGATGGGCAGACTGTTGATTTTCAATTAAGGACTCCTCTTGTCGACTCCGCTTCCGCTCACTTGTCGCTATATTGCATGTCGCTGGGAAGCCGTTGCTCTCTCACCGAGCGATTACTACACTTCCTCTGAGATAAGTGTTTTCGACTTTTATCCGCCTCCAATCCCCGCTACCCTACGTTATTATATTTTCGCAATAGCCATATTTGTAATCCTAGCATTGTTCGAGCGATAGCCGTATAGAAATTGCATGAAACAATCGCCGCCGGCGTCTCCTATCTTTGTTAGCACAGAGTGAAGCGACTAATTTTGTGATATGCATTGCCTGTTGGTACAAATGACACAAGCTATGACGTACATGTTTGTAGAAACGCAATACCCAAAAACGAAGTGAAGGAGTTGTCTCTCTGGCGAACAACTTGTAGGTAGCACCCACATTCAATTAGGGTAGGATTACGGTTTCTCTCTTATATAAACATTCCGTAGTAGAGCAGATTACATATAAGACTAGCTGTGATGGTGTTGAAAGAGTGTTATATTTACCAGCTGCCAGTACGTGAAAGATGCCACAGATTACAGTTGATAGAATGTAAAATTGTAGAATTTATTTGCGCAGGTAAAGTAAAGCTTGTGCAACGGCATGCAAAAAGTTCAGCCAGGGCAAGGAGAGATCGAGGCGAGGAAAAAAGGGAGCTTCGTCAGCGCACACTAAAGTATCGGTTAAGCATTGTTAGCGGCAGTGTTTCGCGCGCGATGATGCCCTTATTGTTTTTATCACGATGACGACACAAGAGATCAGGACGAAGCCGATTCCCTTCCTAACTAAATGCGTAAACGTATGGAAGACGAATCTCCTTGCAATATTCCGGTAAGAAGAATCAAACAGAACATAAGAAAACGAAAGTTTACATATAGAAGCCATAAGCGTGATCAGCCAGTCTAACATAAGTATTCTCCTTAGTGTACGTTGGTTTCAAAGTAAACCTGTTACATTTTAATAACCGTATCGATACTAGAAAGTGTCGGTATTCGGATAGCTTATTGTTGAAAGCGTTACTTTAATCGTGGTTCTTTTCTTCGGAAGTCGCATCGACGCTGATAGCTCATTATAATGAAAAAGAGTAAAACGTGAACGAGAAAAACGGCAGAATGCTAGATATAGATATATTTTTGAAGGATCTCGATTAAAGAAAAATTTAATAGAGAAAATGCTCTGGTGTGCATTTCTGAAAATTAATGGTCGACTATTAACGAGCCTGCTTTCTAACGATGCGCTATTAATGAGCCCGCTGCTTTCCAATAGTTATGCCTGCTTTTGAAAGCTCGATACTTTTCAAGGTATCACGAAAATGAGCAAAACGCAATTGTAACCCATTATTAAAGTAACGCTTTTAGCTGAACCTTTCGATGTCACTTGACAGATGTACGTGGACATGCGTTAGTGTACTAGTATATGTATATATGTACCTTTGACATATTACGTAGTACCGAAGTATCTAACATCTAACGCGAGTGCACAGTTCCACGTGTAAGCTCGAGCCGCGTAAAGCCGGGTCCCCGCATGCGATCGATATTAAAGCAAATGTAATTTTGTCACGAATATTAGGTCGGCAAATGACACATGCCGCAATATATTGAATGTATATTAATAGTAGAGTGTTATTGGTGACAAAGTTATTATTACATGTAGCGATATTGATTCGCGCACAGGGACCGTTTAATCCTTTCTGAGTCGACGATTCCGATGGAGCTCGCACATGAACAAATGCTCAAACATCTTCAATTTCTCTTTTTAGAATGTTCACGCAATCAATTGATTCTGAAAAAAACAAACGAACAATGTTTCTCGGCTATTTTTGCTACATCTCAGACAAATCGGCATGCGCATAAAATGGGATCGTACGAGCGGAAAGGACTAAACATTCTGCATGTGTCGTTGACGATTTTCCGGGACAAAAGGACGATGCAGTCGGCGACTGCACGAGGTGGCAAAGCAGTATTGGTCGGCCAGTCAATGTTACCTACGAGTTGTTTAATGAGAGGACACTATTACAATGTTACAATAGACCGGCAGTCGTCGCCCTTGTTAGGAGAGTCTTTTATTTTTTCATACAACGCTTTGTTTTGTACAGTTTAAGATATATTTCTTCGTTCGCTCGCTAAGCGCGAAGACCGCGGCGCGGCGCGTGCACGCGCGTTACGCGGCGCGTCGCCAGTCGATAGTCGTACCACAGGACAGTTAGGGCATAGATGTGTAGCTAGTTTCTTAAATCTCTTTACGAAATTACGTCAGTACAGATTTGAAACACTTTAAACAATAAATGATCGATCCTATCCGAGACAAAAAAAAATCTAGAAAAAAGATATATAATTACGTATCTGTATACGTGTGCGCTCATATACACACGCGTGTGTATGGGGATACACGCGGAAGATAATTTAAGGGAGAGGTTGAATTATAAACCAACGTGGAGGTGTAGCGTGTAGTGATCAGGGAAACTGTAGGAATTGCATTGACTCGCCTCAATTCTAATTATGACTATTGTTACAGTAACTATTAACTGAATTTTGACACTCGTCGCCGCGCGGAGGGTGACTCGCGTGTCACGTTACTTGGCTGTGTGTGCTAGGCTACATCGTAAAGAAATCATGTTCCATCGAATTTCATCGCTCCATCCGCATTAAGCGCCATTAAACTGATGTGAAAAAAAATATATAAAAAAAAAAGAGAGAAAACAGAATATAGAAATGAGGGAAAACGCAAAAAAGAGGCAGAGAGCATTAAGAACCGCGTTTTACGTCAGGGGCAAAAAAATATCTGCATGTCACCCGCACTCTCCACATCCTTTAGTGCCATATCGAACCCTTCCCCTCCCCCTCAGCCCCATCCCGCTCCATCAGACATCACACTTGTTAACGTTTGACAGTAGAACGTGTTGTTAAAGATATGTATATCCTGCGCGACCCACGCAGATCGTTTTCAAATAAAATCGGACTATACATTTATTTCACATTAATATGCTAAAAAAAATATATATCGTTATGAAATATATTACGAGATCTTTATATACCTACTTAGTTTGCAGTATATAAAAAGAAATAAAGTCTCTCTTGTGGAGCAGCCAAAAAATACAGTGAGAACGATTTAAGCGAGAATGAAAGCCGATGGCTTTGCTATAGTAAACGCTGATTGCTGCAAATTAAGAGGGATGTTGTTTAACTTACTTTGATTTCTCAATGTTGTCGCGTTACACGTTCGCGTTTCCTAGTTTTACACGCATGTATCTTGTTCCAGCTTGTCCTACGTGATCAGTAATAATGATAATTCAATCCAGAAATGCAACAATTTCTGAACTGATATTCGTGCACTTGGCAATTTGGCAATTTAAAATCAAAATTAATCGACTGCTATCGCTAAGGAAAGGAGGGAGAAAATCGATTTCAAACTCGATTTTTTATCGAAGTGGGTAAATTTTATAATATTACTGAAGATTGCTGAAGTTGTTACGAAAAGTATTTCCCAAGTTATGGATTGAGGGCCTATACTGATATCGTCAGATGACAATTTAAAGAAAATACAACTGTATACAAAAGCCAGCTGTTCGCAATATATGTCAGAGTTAATTATTGCTTCAGAAAGAATGTTGCATTTGTCTCTAAGAGTTTTGCTTCTCTACTTGTTAGTTTACTGCCACTTTTTTGCAATTGTTCGCTATAATCAAATATCTAAGATAATAGAGCGGAAATTTACCGATAGCCAAGGAAATCAATGTAAAACGTAATATATATTAAGACATGTTACACTAAGATATCGCTATAGAAAACGTCACAAAAAAAAAATAAGAAAAGAGGAATTTATTTATTGCATCGTATCGCAATATGTATTGCAATATGTATATATCGCAATATGTATTGATTGACAATAGCAAGAGAGACGAAATTATTGCATATATGAAAATATAAAGATTATCGAAGATATACAGCACTACTCAGAGATCACTCGATTGATATTTCCCATATCATGATCTTCGTTTTTCCTAGTTCAGCGTCATTGTCATAAGTAGCGCGCGAAACCCATCTCGTTCGAGAGGAAAAAAAAAAAAAGAATATAATAGAATAAAAATATGAAAATTATGTGTCGGAATGTAACGAGGCGGCGTTACACGTCCGCGACAATTAGAACGCTATTCGTTACAAAGTAATTAAGAGGGTTGTACAAAAATTGTATGTAATGTTATTTTATCGGAAGTGAGAATATTAATAGAGTTAGGCTGTTAATATGGTATATTATTTTGGGTAAGCGTAATGTAAAAAGAAGAAAAAAAAAAGAAGAAACACTCGGACGTGTGAGATCGTTGTTGTTAAGGTAGAAGTAGCACATAGCAGCTCGGGGATTAAAAAGGAGAATAAAGAAAAAAAACCAATTAAATAAAATAAGGTAGCGAGAAAGGGAGGGAGAGAGAGAAAGGGATAGAAGGGAGGAGGAAAACTATTGAGTACCTTGTTGAGTATAAGTAGTCGTATCGCTATAAGTCGCCAGTGCACGTGAGTGCGCGTGTGCTCTCATCCCGCATATTCATGACTTGTTTCACACATGATGTCAGACACAGAGACACACATACACATTTACACAAATACAGATCACATAATGTCAAAATTGCATGCCTATACGCGAAAAGAAGATCCTGCAGACAGACAGAGAGAGAAAGAGAGAGAGAGAGAGAGAGAGAACGCGCGTTTGCGCTTCACTTACGCGATGATGAGTTCTTTCGAGTGTCACAATTACGGCGTACTCGGCGAATTATTAGATTGAGAGAGAATAGTGTTATCTTCCATAATATAATATATATACATATATATATATATATATATATAATAAAAGATATGAGAGCGAGAAAGAAAGAGAGAGCAGCTGGCTGCGAAGGTACCATAGAGAGATTTATTTGTCTCGCACCGATGATGAAAAAAAAATCACGATCAAGTATTGTACCTTACATTCCTTCGGCTATAAAGTAATTTAAGGCACACGCAACACACCATACATACATACATACATGCATATACACACATATACGCGGCAGTGCGTTTTTCTCATCATGCGTTTTACCGAGTTGAAAAGCGACTCACGACGCTACACACGATTAGACGGATATATAAAAAAAAAAAGGAAAGAAAAATCCATCGTTATCGGTATACATTTTACGCTACAATTGTGTACACGTCACACACGAAGGCGGTTCGGTTTTTCCTCTGTCGACACGACACGAGAACGACGGTGCATTACGAGCAATGGGCAAAATTGCGTATTTTTTAATATATTCCGAGGTGTCTCCGCGCGCCTCCGCGCGAGAGACGCGGAGAGAGAAGAAAACAAAAAGAAAAATATAAAAGGTGAAAAGGGTATTGCGATTCAACTCCTTACTAGGCGGAAAGAGCTAAGATTATCGATATTTACGCTAAGTTAGTAGTAAAAGTAGTCGTAACTCTTCGGAAGGTTCGAACATACATTTTAGGCGAGTAAGGATTCGTGAAAGCGTGACGAAAGATTGTAATCGGCTGCCGTTCGAAATGATAATATCGGAGCGAAGCGAGAGAACATCCACGGTATCGTTGATCTTCATTCTGGCGAGCTGTTTCGCAAAATTAGGAGAAGCCGATGACGGACAAGGTGTACGTTGAGACATTTGGTGCGCTTTTCTGTTCATTATTATATAATTTAAATAATAATTCAATAATTCTCTAACGGCGTATCGTATATCTTAATGCTTAAAAACGTTAAAAATGTGTTCAATTTTTCAAATAAGAAAAATGTAATGTTAAAAAATCGCAAGTATTGGCATTGTATGACAATCTAACATACAGAGGCGATTTCACTGAATCACCTTCGGGAAACGAATGTCCTTCGCCGTCACGAATTTCTCTCCTTTCTATTCACGGTGAACAACACCGTAAAGTTTATCGTAGAGGTGTCAATTATTATTAACATAATCTTGACAACGATTTCTTGGCACAAAATTACATCACACAGTCTTTGTCAAAAAGTTATTCTACGTGAAAAAAAAAAAAAAAACTATTGTGTAACGCTCAAGAGTTCGCATTGAGTTGTGCAAGTTTCCAAAATTGCGAAATAGTGCTGTTTCTCGGTTGAATATCAATGATAATGATTTACGATACCACGGATGAGCACGTAAAATATCCTGAAAAGGATATTTACCGCTCACAGCAAAGAAACCATGTGATACGAGCATGGTAAAAGAAAGCAAAAACGAGACGCAATTTCTGTCAGTAAGTGGATAAGTGCGCGACGTTCAAAGTACGCATATTCGTACGGCTCGTAAGGCTTACAGAAAAATTCTCTATTTATTGATCAACACGGAGCGATGATAAACGCGTTTTACTTTTGCACTTTCGCGCTCGTCGATGAAGTTTATTAATGATTACCCCCGACGTGACCACTTTGGGCACCACTATTGTTATCGATGAAGTATAATTTAGTTCACAGCATTTTTTCCGAAGGGCTAATCTTAATATTATTACTTTACACTCTAACCACATTTATTTGCATCCATAAATTGTTATTCTTTCATCATTCAATTTATTCCATTCAATGTTAAATAATTATATAAAAGTTAAAAAAAAAAACAAACAAACAAACATAATATATTAACTATTTTCACTCATTGAGAAGCATCGTTACCTGTATGACAAGTGACCATAATAAGAGCATAATAAACAATCGCTCATTAAATGCATTCTGTTGTTCTTCATTTCATGACCTAGCCACCATCCATCCATTTGTCCATTCAGTATTCGCAGTATGATCACGTCATACGCGTTCATCGTTTCTCTCATTCACCAAGGTATCTCTCTGGTATCGCGCGGATGTTTTCGCACCGCATTGAATTTCTCGGTGAACCAAATGTTTTTCCTCTATACTCGTCCGAAGTAACGAAGCGCAATTTGTAATTTTGTGGAAATTCGGAAGGCATCTCGCAATTGCATAGCGAACCCTCGAATGAAACGAGACGGTCTTCCAAATTTCGACAAAAAAAAAAGAAAATAAAAATAAAGAAGATCGTACAACAGCGGCACAGCGACGGGCACGATCCGAAGATCCCGTGCAGCATTTATTATTACATTATTATTTGAATCTTGATGGATTCTCCTCGTTAAACATTAGTTAAAGTCAATTGAGATTTCTCTCTCTCTTCTGTCTCTTTCTAGTTCCTTTTCTAGAAAATCATCAAATTAATTAATAGCGATTGATAAGTTGAATCATAATTTATCGTTGGCAAATATTTTCAGAGGACTGTCCCTTACGCGTTATCATTACTTTTAATCTTTATGATAAAGTAGATAGTGAAAATTTTTTATTAATTTTTTATAATGTCTTTTCTCTTGCGGAAATTGTGTTGGTGCCTACAACTGTACTGTTTGTCCCAGATTTGTGAGATTTCGTCGTTTACACGCCGACGAGTAGAACCGCAGACCTCTTTGCGTACAAAACTCGCTCAGTACAGTATTCCAGGCAATATCGAGTAACGCGATTATGCGTACGGCTGGAAGGGAAAGAGAGTGTCGTAATAAATTTTTGTGGTGAGGAGGAGTCAATCATAAATCGATATCAATAAAGTTTGTGATGTTAGGCAGGCATATCATGGTTTTTTATATTGATATTCGAATTACGAATAAACATTTGTATTCTTGTATATATACATATATGATGTGTACCTCATTAAGGATAGCGCGTTGTAATTATATAGATATATTTTTTTATCTTTTTTTTTTATATTTCTAAGTGTACAATCTCGAGCGTATAAGAGATGCTATTCTAACTAGTCAGTAAAAACGAAGGATTGTATTTTTACACGACGAATTATTTGTAAATAATGCAGAATATTTGAAAATTATATAGCTGGGGCACCGACGATCGAGTGACACGGTCTGTTTCAAATAATCTTATTATCAAGCTTTTGATAAAAAGAAAAAAAGTATGTAAATGTAAATTAAAAAAATAACAAATAAACAACTATTTTTGTACGCATAATAAGACAGTTTATTTTGAGCGTTTCCGCGTATTGTATTCGATTGATAATCAATTTATAAACAAAGAATGATATTCGATCTTCGCGATTTGATTTATTAAAAAAAATTAAACTTAAAAAGACTTGATAATGCAACGCAAAAATAAAATGTTTAATAGAATTATGGTAAGTTCAACATCTCTACAATTACTTTTAATTATTTTTGTTAATATTTTTTCAATTTTTTTATAACATTTATTATTAGAGTCTAGATGAGACTTTAAGAGGCTTCAAAACTATTTTTGTATACAGAAAAAATTGATTTATTTAAATTAATAGCAATTATTTATTTGAAGAAATGTTTAATTAAAAAGAAATGATCTTGATTTTGTCAGCGTATTATACAAAATCTGATAATACAACTTTTTACTTCTTAAAACTTCAATTTTGTTAAAAAACTTTTTAAATCAATAACTTTGACAAAATCAACGTGCATTAATTATAAAATTGACATTTTATCTTTATATATTTTGCTCATTTTTAAGAATTTTACTATTAACATATTTTAACAACGTGCTATCGAATTCAAGTACTTATTGTTTATAAATACAGACCTCATTGCATTAAAAATATGGTTTTATAGCCATAAACTTCTTACTGCATCTAAAAAGTATTTATTACTCATGCTCATAGCTAGCAAAAATCCATCTAATTCAATAATATCTTATCATTCATAAAAAAGAGCACACTTAATCGAAGACGTTTAATTAAAAAAATCTTATTTGGCTTTTAATTGTACTATTAACAAAATTTTTACGGACCAGAGGACATTTAATATCGTGTCCCTCAAATTTTGCCAGCGGCCAGAGGACACCTAATCGCGTTCACTGGAGTCAACATTGAGGACGCAATTAGGCGTTTCCTGGTCGTGGAGAAAATTTAAGAACGCGTTTAGGCGTTTTCTGGTCGTCGAAATCTCTTAAAATCGAGCAAATGGCATAAGTCAACGATAAATTGGACGTAAAAATGTTTCAATAATTCAAGTAACAATAAATTAGACGGTTTTTTTTATTAAATGTCTCCGATTGTGCACGCCTTCATCTTCTATTAGTGATATGACTTGTTAAATTGAATGGATTTTTTACTAGTATATTAATATAATAAGGATAAGTTTAAAATAAAATATTTTATGTTTTATATATTCATAATAAAAATTTATTAAAAAAAAATACATTCAACAAAAATACAATTGTTTACATTATCTACGCATAGATGTAGACTATTATAGTTTACATAGATGCTTAATCTTGGATATATTTGTTTACATATTTGCAGATCTTGTTACATCAAAATTTGCTCATAATAAAAAGACAATTCCTACAGACAAAACGTAGTTTTATTCCGATAATAAGTGTACAATTACGAATGCACTTACTGTTTTGATCTTCTTCGCAACTACTACGAAGTAGTTATACATACACTATTGACACATGAATCTTTTATTCGCTATAAGCAGTGTAAACATACAATGATCATTCTTTTTCGCTTATAAAGTATCTATGCGCTCCATACCGTTTTTCAAATCGACATATCAATCGCTATATTTATTGTACACTCTCAATTGTTCATACTTAACGATCTCACGCACCCTTTCACAAAAAATTTCTTTCAGACCATTATATGACAGGAGAGTTATTAATATGTTTATTGCTATTTATCTCGTCAAATTATGCAGTAGTATGAATGCATATGTATGCAGTCGGTTTATACTATTATAAAAGTGAAACATAGTCGGTCTCATTCATAAAATCGAAATAAATTATAATCGAAACATACTGAATAAGAGTGAGCGATGTGTAAGAAAGACCGATTCACGTTGCACAATATAAATATTGTCTATTATTCATTTTATTACAGAATCGCTTTTATACTTTTCATAAATATATCATAGGGATTCTAAGTGAGCAGTTATTATCAAAACATTTTAATATCATACAAGAATGATAATTAGAATAACAGCTTGTTTTTTGACAAAATCTGTCGCCTTAATTATTATTTGTCACTTTTACAGATTTTTATGATTTGTGCAGAGAAATGCGAGACAGAAACAAAAAAAAAGACGCTAGATTGCATTTAAATGCGAGATGCAGTTCACATTAATTTTTAATTATGCTTAAAGTCGACAGCGAAAATTTTAATTCGCTCACACTCTTATAATCGAATCATGTAGCGTTCACAAAAAGCGCAGTTATCAAAACGAAGCAAACATACATGAGAGTTCAGTCAGTTTCGATTACGTTTGTCGATATTATAAACATTTGTGAAGCGGGTTTGAGACGGGGATGGTTCATATAAAGATTATATACATTATCTAATCACTCGGTAGATTAATATACGTCTATGTGTGACTGCGTATTTGTGCATGTATAGACATGGAATGCATGTTCTTACTCGTCCCGAAATAGCATATGTCGGACGACGTTTTCACAAATTGTTGATAATCCTATATATTCAATCCTTAATATCCTCTATTAGAAAGCGCACAAAGAATACCTTCGTTACACGACACTATATTTCCTATAAAAAAATAAATGGCGAAGGCTGGAGGCTACATGGAAGAAGTACTCGTCAAAGTCTCGAAAAGGCAGTTACAACGTGCGCGGGAAATCATCAATGTTGTACATGTGATTTCGAATGCACATGTCATAACGCGTTGTGTTATAAAACAAGGACAGAAAGGATAACGCGGCAATAAGGAAGAATGCCAAGTGAAATTTGATTATCGAGCTTCAGATCAGTCGTGTTCGATATCTACAAGACTTGACTTTTGACAAACGTACGTTTGCGCATAAAATTTTTCGAAGCACACAAGGACTATGTATAATAACGCGGCTTTACAATGAGCGATTCTATAAAAAGATTCGTGAAAAATATCGGTATCTCTGTCATTACACTCGAACCGGAAAACTATTCGCCAGAGCATAAATATATACTTTGATTCTGTTAGCGCCGACACGCGTTTCTCCTTTGCGTTTGAAACCGTTCGCGATTGTACTATGTAAAACGGCATTTCAATGGCACATTCTAATCTTCGCAGCATCGTCTGAAGTCACTTCAGTTCTACACAACGTAATTTAAATCACAGATTATCTAACTACAGTTATATAACAAGTCTGTGTTTCAAATGCGTCTTAGAAAATGCAGATATGGAAAAGTTCGGTACATTATTTTTTCGCAGAAATTGTTTAAAATTAAAAACTTCTTTATAAAAAGATATGCTACAAATCGTTGTATAAAAAAAGGATTACAATAGATCTGTTTGTTTTATTCACACTTTCTGTGAAAATTTTAATAAAATTTCCCGAAATATAAGAAATAAAAACAAAACTATTATCTTTTAATAATTGTCTATTCATATTTCTTCTTATAAGAATTTTAAAAAGTATAAAATGCCTATATAGCTAAAAAAGAGTGTAATAATGTTGTTTTATATATATATATATATAAAATGTTGCTATAATAAAAAACTAATAAATTACTTTAAACGATAACGATATAGAAAAATACGAGTGTCGAATAAAACGAACATATCTAATATACGCTAAAATTGGAATATAAAAAAAATATGCAATTTGTACTTTTTTTTACATGTTAGTATTTTGGAAGATACTGAGCAAAGAGAAAAAGAGAGCGCATTTCCTTATTACACGTTTCCCTTCGAATTTGAACGTTTCAAGTTTTGAATTTGTTGGCATGTACTTCGTATTACGTAAATACGAATCGCTATTCTACGTACCAGCAACGATTTTGGGGTATTCACTAAGATTTTATAGCAACATCTTTTCCTTACGCTCTTCAAGCAAGTCAAATAAAACATAATTGTAATAAGTATATAAAAAGTAAAACTTTTGATTTCAACAGAACCTATTCAGAATAGGTCGATATATCTTTATAAAATATCGTGTAAAAATATCGCGTGAAGATAAATTTCGATTGATTATGTAAAATCGTAGAAAACGTAACAAAACTTAAAAAATAGGCCAATATCGCTCTTCTTTCTTGTTTCTTTATAGGTACAAAAATGGCGCGAGTGTCTTTACTTTAAAATAAGCAGCATTAGAGTACGATATAACATGACATAAAATTAAAATCACCGTTTCGATATTTGCTTCTATTGCGCCGCTAACCATTTTAGTACCAATACGCAGTTCATAAGTGATAAAAGGTGCAATCTACCAGACAATTTTTTTGAAGTATAAATACTCTTATCAAAATAGCGCAATTCATCGACTGATAAGGTAAGGATCAAAATAAACCTCTCAAGTATTCGCTGTGTTATTGGACCCATTCATATATTAAAAAATCAATTATTATAACAAAACGCGCTATACTTTAATTTAGCAATTAGCTGTTTTTTCCTAGATTGTATTTTTATTTAAAAAATAAAAGGAAAATTTTAATCAAAATTGACTAAATGATTCATAGAAATATCTGTAAATATACGTGAAATATATCTAAACAAATATATGAATAAATTCTATTCACCTTTTGTCACTATGAAACTACATAATACGAGACCAGCCTCTCTTCGCCCCTCTAAAGAATTTAGAAGAGGAAAAGGGTGGTCTGCCTCGCTTGCTACTTGGTCGCCTCGGGTGGACAGTCGGGCTGGTTGTTGGGATGAGCCGCGGTGAAGGCCGGATGGTGCTCCAAGTGACGATCCACCCTCAGAATCGTGGGGAAGGGTCTCAGGTCCACGTGAAACCTTCGCGCGTTGAATATCTGTGGCACCAGGCAACAGTCCGCTAACGTAATCTCATCGCCGACGCAGTATTTGCCCGCGCTCGACGATAATAATTTCTCCACGGCTGAAAAATAACATTATCAGTGTTTGCTCGATTATATAAGAAAACTTATTTTCGCTATTTTGATCGTCAACGATTAAACGCGTCTCTCTCTCAACGATTAAACGTGCCGTTTTTTAATACATCGAAGATCGCAGACTAAGAATATTTTTCCTTACAATCTTCATATGCAATGAATAATTAGAATTGCAAACACCCGCAGTCTTCATGTCATGAATATTTAAAAGCGTCATTGAAATATAATAAGGTGATTCGCAATGTTAAAAATTGATTATATATTTAAATTTGAAAAATGGCAACAGGAAAATGTTTAAATACAATAAAAATCTAATTATAAAACTGTTCAGGGAACATACAAAACTTTTATTTTTTTATCATTTAAAAAAAATGAAGCTAGTAGCAATTCATCGTTTATTATATCATACGATTTATGGACTTAATACATTTCTTTTATATACCTGTAAATCCTCTAGTTATCCAATGCTGCGCCCATTCCTTTTTACGTTCCTCTCCAACGTAGATTAGAACAACGAGATTTTGCAACGGCTGTATGCCGCTGGCAATTACTTCGCAAATCTCTCTCACTCTAGCTCTTTTGACAGGATCCGCCGGCATCAATGGACGATTCGGCCTAGTCTCTTCCAAGTATTGCAGAATATTTAGCTGCGCAAATAAATCGCTGGTTATCAACTTTGAAAAACAATCGCAATGTAAACGTAAGCGAATATACTCACCGACTCTATTAGCGTGTGATTGTCAATATGGAGTGCAGGGACCTGCTCCATTGGATTTATCTCACGGAACTCGTTGGAATGCTGTTCTCCGCCGCCCTTTACCAGGCTCACAGGTTTTATATCGTACGGTATCTCCTTCAGGTTCAATGCTATTGATAAATACAGAAATATTAGTAACATAGTTGAAAGATAATCAACTATAATAACAATAATAAACTTCTGATTAAAAATTTGTTAAATACAAGAAAGTATTTCTTTATGCACAAGTAAATTAAGAACATTCAAAATACAGTAAAAGTATATACTTCTAAAGTTTATAGTTTTTTTTACAAATCGCAGATCGTATATTTGATATTGCACGAATGCATCTCTGATATATTTCATATGATATTTTAAATACACAATATAAACATAATATCGCATCAAATAGGACTTTCACTCACCAATTCTCACTCTCCATGAGCAGGAGCTCCGCCAATAGGAGTAGAGCACCGGCTGTTGGAAAAAATGAGAAAAGATGTAAATAGATAAATTCTATCTAAGTATACTCACCGGCCTCCAGAACGACGGCATGCTCGAGGCCAGCGGCAAAACCAGATTCGTGATGTGGAAAAAAATTTATGACGATTAGCAAACGTAAATAGGAGTGTTGAAATGCACATTAATTAAGAAACATTCCTTCCAGTTGTTGATATAATTCTAACGATGATCAATTCAACTTTCTTTTTTCATCATTCTATTTTAAATAACATCTGAAAGTTAAATTGTTAATATAATAATAAATATATGCGAAATTTAGTCTCAAAAATATTCGATATATAAATCCTCAGCCATTTCATACAAAAATAATCATTTTCTAGAATAGAAAGTAATTTGTCTGATAGAAAAAATAATTAACTCGAAATTTCATAAATGCACATACAAATATCATTTTTTTAAAGGAACAAATTTGATTTTTTTTCAACAAAATTCAGAATATACTTTAACTTATTCTCTTTGTTTTTCGACTGACAAGCCGCGTTGACATTTCGCAAGTGTAGTCGGCAAATATTGCGAGTGGAGTAGCTGCGCGCGCGCGTAGCCAGCCGCTCGCATACAAGCGTATTACATCCTTGTGTTACATACTATCGGCGTGTTACATTCGGCATCAAGGGTGCTCTCTGTCTAAAAGGGGTAATGGTGAGTTTCGTTCGCGCGCGTCACTCGTCTCGTTATTAATGAGTGAGACTGAAACAAGCTCGCAAAAATTGAATTTTCTGTGCAATGAAAAATTCGCCTTGTGTCGAATTTTTCTATTGTCCGGGCTACTTCGCGACCAAACACTGAGGTAATTTTCGCGCGATCGACCGCCGTATCGGAATTTGAACTTATCAGA